CCTGCGGAAGAGCATTCAGCACCAACGAACCATATTTCCCGGCGTAGATTCCCGGCGAAGACGTCGCCGGAGCCGCACCATGACCCTCCTCGCCGCAACCCACCACCGGTGGTTGCTGACTCTCCTCCTTGAGAACAGGGATCTCTCCGGCGAAGATGACGTCATCGAGAACGGGGAAAATTTCTCCGGGCAGAACCCTCGCCGCCGATACAGAATCAAACCGTGATACGGAGATGAGAAGGAGCATCGTTAGCAAACCAGAGATCTTCGTCATTTCTCTCTCTTGTCTGTTTCCAATAGAACACTGTTTTTTTTTTCTCCTTCCTTGGTGTTGGTGAAGCTCGAATGAATGTATATATATATACACATAAATGCATATATGCGTGTGTATGTGTACGTAGAAGTCAGCAGCCGATGCCGAGCTTACGCGGCAAGTGTCGGACTCAGGAGTTGAAGAATCAGTCTCCAGCTTCCGGTCCAACTAAAATGTCTCCGAAAAAGTCTCACTTTAAATAAATAAATAAATATTTTCATAGTTGAGACTTGTGACGACCTAAATATCTATTACGCAGGAGAATCTGAACAATTTACAAAACAATGCTTTAAAATAGGAGTTCTTTTTTAATTGATGACGTGGTCAGAAAAAAATATGCATGGAATTTTCGGACCATTTTACTTTAAAATAATATATCATGCAAATTAGGGTTGTATACCTTTGGTGATTTTATCGACTTAAAACTTTCAGTGTTTTTCTATTACACGTGGAAATGAAATTGGTGGACCGTCAAAATTGATAGAAAAAATTACATATTAGTTACATTATATATATATATATATAATTTTAAAATATGAAAAATGGGCCATGTGAATAACAAAATGTCAAAGTGGAGGGAAAAAAAAATACAAGTGGACTTCCCAACTGCTTCGTTAATAAAAGCATATGCAAGACGACACCGTCATTTTTTGACCGCGTCCACGTCACCCTCCTCTTCTTCCCCAAGTCTTTCACACCCGTGTAGACATATGTCTAAACCTAAAAATTAATATATGATTAAAAAAAACTTACTTTGATTTCACTAGATATATATATATATATATAATTAAAAGCTGATTTTTCTTAATTTTATATATATAGGGATTAAGTGGGCCAAAGACCCAGTGAAGCTTTTGGTTATAAAAAAAATATGGGTAAGCATGTGTATTTTACGTATAACGTGTCATCCAAGTTAGGCGTACGATGAATTTTCATGCAATGTATATTTACTTTTTTTAAGCAATGCTCGTAATTAGACAGGAAGTTACAAGTATACGGCAACGTTGTTGTAACACAATGGATATATGTTCTACACTTCGCAGGAATGGCTTTTCCGGAATCTGATTCTCTTCAGAAGCCCACCATGATACCTTGTCTGTAGGTAGTAAATTCAAGAATGGCTCTCTGTCCAGTTTCTTCCCTCACTTTCCGTCGTTTTCTCGGATGCCAAACAATCCAAGAAAAAAAAACCCAAGGAGAGTGCACACTCCTCCAACGGAACAATGCAGGAAGATACCCTTCGCTCTCTGCAGGCAAAGGGCCTCTGTTTGGCTGCCGAGAAGATCCTCAGCCGCAACTCTCAACAGCCCAACACTTCCAATCTGGCCAGTTTTCGTTTCCCATCCAACAAACAGTATATAACCTTAAAAGGCGATGCCTTTGATCATAGGATACCTACAAACAGATTCTCAAACCGGCTTCCCGAGAACCCAATGCTTTTAGAATATGGTATCGATGGTGAGCTTTCGTTTGGGCGGGGATTTTTCTATGGTTTGCTTCTGCCTTTCCATGAAAGTAGAACCCTTGTTTGCAAATAATCTCCTGAGATTGATCACCGACAACTCGTTGAAATTTCCAACCGCGAGATCAGCCTGAACCAGATCATACCTGCAGTTTTCTAGGGTTTAGTCAGTATATTGATCCCTGATACTGGTAGAGGCAGAGAATGTGTACTTACGCCGGGTGAGACCCAATCAATGCCACAGCCATCATAGTACAGTTGTGAGCAGCAGTTATGCCCCTTGGATCATCCTCAAACACTACACACTTTGACGGCTTTCTGTCCAACTGCACGAAAAAAAATGGACATTTCCAAGAACCCGAGAAACTATTTCTTGAACTTTCAACAGAAACGAAGTGCATGAACATGATGCATGGAACTGTCAATATGAGCGTACAGTTACATACCTTCACGGCTGCAGAAAGAAATCTATGAGCTATTGACTCCATACCATCTTCCTCGGATACTAGTGCCTGATTTCAGAGAATGAAGATCATCATCAAAACCCTATTTAACGATCCAATCTATTCTTTTATCAACCTATGACATATAATCATGTCCTCTAGAGCTATTACCTGGAAATACTTTTGAAGTCCCATTCTTTCAAGGGCATCAATCATGCTTTTGCGATCAAGATTTGAGACCACAGCACAAGGAATACGGGCCGTTGATACAGCATCGAGCCAGTCTTTGAGTCCTTCTGCTGGTTTTGTGAGCTGATATAATAATAACAATACAAAGAATATCGTAATATATCTGTGATAATAACAACAGGACGTATCCTCTTCAATGTTACACAGCAGTAGACAAAGAAAAAACCTTACCTTTACAAGACTATCGTAATATATCTGTGATAGCCTGTGTTTTAATCTGTCTATTTCATCTTTCGATGTCTCCCAAAACAGCACCTGAAATATTTTTGCAAACAGTAAGAGAAAAAATAAAATCAAGGACACGATATCTACCATTAGTATATCCCTTTCCCCCACTCTTATTCCTCTTGTTCTTAAAAAATAAAATCCACCTTTTCTTCTGCTATGAACCAAGTAGAGACTATGACTAAGTTTAAACAGCTATTTGAAGCACCCATGTCCCATTCAACCTCCGTACCCAAAATCAAAGAATATCAAAGCATGCCAAGTATGCTTTTGTTGGATTAGAATTTCAAATCCAAGAAAATGACAGACCGATAAAAGATTTCCAAACCTTGCGCAACACGTGGTCAGCGCCTGCATGCAGCATCAGTCTTTGGATGTTATCCTCTTCTAGGATTTCTTTTCCTGTCCAGAAGCCAAACCGCCAAAAGTACATGTATCAGTGGAGAAGGAATCAGCTCTACGTTCTCCAGATCAAATGGGTTTCTAACAAATTATAAGAAAAAACAATGCCACAAAAACCTCTTATACATACCACCAAAAAGCCACAAAGGGAAATGGAAAAATCAGAAACCGAGATTAATCTCAATATAACAGTTCAAATGTCAAGTCACGGTGCATTAACAAGTAAGTTATACACTACTACAAGCGTCCATTTCATATCACATCTCCACTAATAGAAGGTGAGGGAAATGGAAAAATCAGAAACCGAGATTAATCTCAATATAACAGTTCAAATGTCAAGTCACGGTGCATAACAAGTAAGTTATACACTACTACAAGCGTCCATTCCATATCACATCTCCACTAATAGAAGGTGAGCTAACTGGTACTTGTATAGTAATATCTTTGGAAAATGTATAATCTTCTTCTAGAAAGGTTATATGGGCAAGTACCATATTTGGATAATAATCTAAGGGGAAAAGAGTAATAACACTTGCCTTCTTCAGCAGCAAGCTGCTTCCACGCATCCAACTTTAAATTCCGAGTATCCGCCTAAGCATTTGATCCACGAAATTGAATAGAGAAAATGAGAGCTCTTGATTCCAAAGTCCAAATACATGACCATGCAACTCTAGGTTGCCTGATATTTGACCATATACTAGGATAGTATACAGGTTCATAAGGCGGTACCATAAAAACCAGAGGTAGGATCAAAGTACAGCATCTAGTTCCTAGCAAACAGAACTTGCACTAACCAACTCGCAGACAATTATTCAGCTCGATATTTTAATGCTTCTAAGATGATGTCAAAGAGTTGATGGGAATTACCACGACATTGTCCCATGAGAAAATAAGACCATAGGCTTCATCCGGTTTCATTGCGTAGCGTATTCTTTGAAGAAAACCCTCTTGCAATCTCTCGTTCCAGAAATCCTGCTTATGGAAAAACTCACAAGTTACATATTTTTTTGCTCCCAACCAAAGCATTCGACTGAATTCACATATAAATCACTAAGCATACATAGTAACTCTCTAGAATCTGGAGCCAAAGCAAAGTCTGGTAGAACATTAACAAGCACTAGTATCTCTTACCACATCGACTTTAAGAGGACCATCCTGTCTGAAAGTCTCAAACCCTTCTCCATATTCAGCTCCAATCGCCTTGAAATCAACAAGCAGCGATATGTTAAAGAAAATTCCTACCTCAATTACAGAACCGAAAAAAAGGGAGAAAAGAGACATCCAGGAACGCCAAACTTTGGTCTTTCGATTCACCGAACACGACGAGAACAACCTATACAACATGAGAAGTATGTTCCGAGCTTTTAAGCAGGAGTACCTCTTGCATGAAGAGCTTGTTCGGCTTGAGCGGAGACACATCCATGGAGCCGTTTTCATCGGACCCCGCAGCGCTCTTCACTACCAAACGCTGCTTCCTCAACGACCCATCTTTCAATGTCTGCAAAAAAAGAGAGCAGAAATTAACGATTAAACCCATCGAATTCGAAACCAAACCGAAGCAATTTCAGAACAAAATAAAGGGAGAGACTGACGGAGAAGGTGAGATTCGAAGTGAAGGAAGAGCCGGGGAAGCGAAACGATGGATTGGATGAGACGAGCAGAGACGAAGAGCCATTACTGCACGAGCAGTTCATAATTAGGGTTTGTCTTGTTCTTAGAAGATGATCGCATTGGTTTTCACGAAAGCTCCAAAATTTTTGTATTGCTCACGGAACTGCCCTGAATCTTTTTTCTGGTTCATACGTTTCGAGCCAGAGAACGTCTCTGGTGGAGAGATGACGGAGAAGTGAAATTTGCAAAATGCATCGTGTCCATATATCTGGATGCCGTTCTAGTCTTGCAGCGTCACACTTTCTGCCGTTTTAAGGATAATAAAACGTCACGAAGTTTACAACTGAGATACAAGTGGAGAGAGCAGTGTTATTATCTGGCCGTTTGAAATTGAATTTCACGATCCATTCTTTAGTAGGAGACGACGATCTACTAAAATTCAGTGTGTAGTTTACTGGTTAATGTGATAAAAGAAAATATATAACACGTGACTCGAGAACAAATAAAACGAGTTCATCATATATCCTAATTGTGGTATTTCCCAATGTTTTTCGGATTCAAGATTTGGTTTAGAGAGAATTCGTTGATTTCTTCTCGCCGGTAACCCGTCGAGATCTATGCGATCTTATATTGAGATTGAAAACTCATTAAAACGGTTAAAATCTAATTAACATGAGAATTTCGTATGTTTTACCAACATTTATACCACTAGTCGAAATGTGACAAAGTAACTCTGAGTTATGAGTTTGATTTCACTAATGGAAAGAAGAGAATGCAATTAATTACAAGATTAAATATTGATTTCAAATTATATGCGATTAAATGGGTCAAAGACCCAGTGAATTTCCTAATTATAAAAAATATAAAATTTTAAAAAATACATTTTACATAAATATTTCAACTTTTATCACAATATTCATCCGGTCTCTAATGATTGTTTTGCGAATGATACGGTGAATTAACAAGAGATACTAAAAAGGGTTATTTTAGCATATATATGTAATTTGAAGTAAACCTAATTTGTAAATATATTTTTCATATGCATGGAAACCAAAAATCGTCGTTTTCGTGAACTCCATTTCATCCATTTTTTTTCTTTCTTATCATCATTAGTGGCTTTCTTTGTCGGTCTAATAAAGTTTTGTGCAATAATTTCATTATTTAATGCACAATGCATAGCAAAGTAGCTTAGTGCCCATCTTAATCCAACAGTTTTCTAAACAAAAAAAAAATATGCATAATTAATTAAAATTTTAAATATTCCTACACATATGATTTGAAAAAATATCAAATTTTTTAAATTAAAATCGTTAGATATTTTATTAGATATTATTTAACTCAACATTTATTTCAAATATCTAAACGTCGTCATCTTCGAATTCAATTGATTTTGGTTCACACTATTTGTACCAAACTGGATGCTAAACCGGTTTTAATGCAAATTTGTCGTTGCGCTAGCTTTTAAACAACCCTTGACCGGCATCCCAAGGCAGTACAAGGTGGCCCATCCCCGTGGACACGTGGCATGCTGTTACAGACCGACGGTGCAATGTTGTAGACAAATCCCTTTCTTCCTAACTAATTGATCATTAACCGGAAAAATTATAAATTATGGACCATAATTTTATTAAATTACATTTAACGACCGTTGTACTTGTTGATTTAATGGTTTTATTTCCTCTTCGGTTTCTCAACATGCCAGATTTAATATAAATATAAAAGTAATTGAACATTTCAGATGATTTTTTTTAATAATTTATATGTTTAACAAAAATCTAATATAAAGCAAACATAATACTAATCAAATTAAAACTCAAAATAATAAATAATTAGATATGTCTTTAAATAAAAAATAAATGAACGGAAAACAAAATCAAGTTAAATATATCTTATCCTATTTTTTAATATAAAATCAATTGTACTTATCTTTTATTTTCAACATCAATTACGCTTTTCAAACAACTGATTTTGTTCTCTCAAAACAATTATCCGTTGATTCGATAATCTCATATAGTTTTTATTACTGATATTACGAAAACCATCACACAATGTCGTAAATATTAACTATTTTCCATGTAATTAGGTGGCGGGATTAATTAATCAACAATGGATGGCTTGACTTTTCGGTAACTTCACTGCGCCACGTAGGACAACCACACCGTGGGTCCCCTATAAACTGTTTCACCAGTAACAGTTCGCCACGTATCGAATAATCCACTCCCCACGGTAACCTAAAAATAGAATCCGCGTAGGGAATTATTTCCCGACCTCACCACCTCCCCTATATAATGCCGAGCTCGAAACGCTCGTTAAAAACCTAGATTCTTCGTCTTCTTTATCCTCTCTCAATCTATATATCGTTTTCGATTGAATCTTTCGCTTCCCCCTCTTTCGTCTTTCAAAATTCTTCAAGAACTGGCTAACTTTGGAGAAGAGAAGATTCTGGCGGAATCGGAGAAGAAGAACCGAGACGTGGTTCTTACGCTATATGAGGCTCTGAGATCGCGAGACGTGGGGACAGTTCACCAGATCCTAGCCGCCGATCTGGAGTGGTGGTTCCACGGCCCGCCGTCGGACCAGTTTTTGATGCGCATCCTCACCGGCGACGCACCGTCGTCTCCGCCGTTCGAGTTCGAGTTTGTCCCTCTCTCCGTCGTCTCCTTTGGACCCACCGTTATCGCCGAAGGCTGCGACTCCACCCGCTCAATCTCCTGGATCCACGCCTGGACCGTCACGCATGGGATAATCACCCAGGTGAGGGAATACTTCAACACCTCCCTCGTCGTCACGCGGATCGGGAACTCCGCCGTTGGACAGAAGAAACCGACGGCTGAGATCTCGCCGGTGCATTGCCCATCCGTGTGGGAGAGCCAATTCTCGGGTCAGGCCGGGAAATCCGTCCCGGGACTCGTCCTGGCGATTTGAAAAAGAGAAAGGTATAGTTCCGATCGAGTCACAGCCCCGTATCATCTAGATAAATAAAGGCTGTTTTACGTGTCGATTTCTGATTGGTCTGTCATATATGGGCTGAAAGATCCCTGTGAGAAACGCTCTGCCCGTTAGGCCGCGTTTGGCTGATCTTTCTCCTCTGTTTCCTTTCGGTCATTGTGTGATCAAGGTCGTGTCGTGTCTTTCAGTGAAGCAACATGGGGAAACCCAAGTTGATGACGAGTCTCTGTGTTTTTGATGTGATGTTTGGAATAAACGCTTTCGTTTGGGATGAAATCGTGCGCTGTTCTTTCGATATATGCATGGTGATTTTTGTTATTACATATACGGTCTATTATCCGATGCTTATTATTCGTTATCTGTAACTGTAATCATTGTTTACTGTCCATATAAAACATAATTTATTAGATTATACTATATATGATCGGAATGAGTCGAACCCGATAATGCATATTTTTATATAAAAAAATCTAATGGATAAAACTGAAAACGGAATTCGAAGAAATCGTCGATTTCGTTCGTTAATAAACATCTTTTATCCTTTTAAACCAAATTTTAATCAAACCAAATTTAGTATAAAGATGGAACAGATAGTAATTTATTAAATTCAATATATTAAACCAAATTTATCATGGAGTTGGCATTGGGTTCAATTATATACAACTTTGATAAACCTTAACGAATATAAAATAAGAATTATTATCTCTAAAAACCTAATTGGCACCATACCGAAAATAATTTAAATCGAAAAAAGGAACCTTAATAAAATCAAGCCGGATTTGAATCAAAAAACTGAAATGCGAAGCCTAGCAAACAACCATCTTACTCTACTATATATATATTTTTTAAATATATATATATATTTATTTATTGAATCAGAGAAAAAAAAAAGGATTTGTTTGTTTCTGGCATGTAATGTCATGGGGAAGGAGCGAGGAAGGTCACTTTTTTTGTCCGAAACGTTTAAGTTCGATGTGGACAATTATAATCTGTCGTCTTTTTTGGAGTTTATTAAATAAATTAAATTGAAAGTTGAATGTGACATGGTATGATAATTATATTAGTCAATATATTATTATATCGTCATTATACAAATAGCATGAAAGGAATTATTGTGTCACATAAATTGTAATTGATAAGATTATTATCTGCAATTTTAAATGGAATGTTGAATTTGGAAAGTGAGGGAAAAGGTGGTAATTAGTATAATGAGATGATATGTTTGTTTTCTTATATTTTATAATCAATTATTTATATAATTTTTGTAATCAATTATTAATATCTTATGATCTAGATTGATAGTGATAGTGGTTATTCGATTCTGAATCAAACTCCACGTAATTAGATTAAAACACATCTATAACATACACAAGGCACATAAATTGATTTAATTAAAATATTATTCGCTTATACATTAGACTGAATTAATCGATTTATTGAAAATATTAATATTCTAGTGGGCATCTATTATTCTTCCTGGTTTAAAGTTTTTTTTTTATCTATTTATTTTTCTTTCTTTGTTTTTTTGCTAAACTTATTTTGATAGTTAACACAGAAAACGTAGGACCGAATCCTTAAAGTTAAACTCGGTTTAAGTTTGTTACATTATGCTTTCATTTTGTGCCTAATTAGGTGAGTCATTAGGCATTTATAGTTATTGATATGTATGTATATCCACTAGTTAGTTAGTTGGTCTCACCGTAATTATTCCCGGATGCTGACTAATATTTTTAAATTAATTAATTAATTAATCCTCTAACCATTTCCTCCGAACTATATTTAATTAGTTGTGTGTACATATAATAATGTGCACGGACGGATGGACTTTGACATATATATCACTTGAGATAAATATATTTCATTCCCTTAACTTAATGCGTTTTATCAGAAATGAGGTGTTCCTCCTCCAGGTCAGAGATTCGAGTGGTATCTGGACTGGAAGTGAGGGTGTTCCTCTTCCGGGGTTCGAATCCAAGCATGCGGAGAGAGAGAGGCATAGCCAAAGATTGTGTGTTCAAAGGCTGCTCCCGAATCCAGAGAGATGTAGGTTGGGCCGAAGGCCCAGGTGAACTTCCTTGTTTGATTAAAAAAAAGAAATGATATAATAAGCTTTAGATATATATATATATATATATATTAATTATTAGATTGAGATTTTTTTCAGTTTTGAACAAACTTATAATCGTTCATTAATATACTGGGCTTTAATTTATTTTGTGTTCTGTACAAATTTACTTCAGATTCAATTTTTATTATTCAGAATATTTTTTTTTTTGAAAAAAACATTCAATTCTCTTTAATTTTATCGGTTTTTATAGATTACTAGGTGAAAGACCCGCGCGATGCGCGGGTTATTCTTTATTATATTTCGATTATATTTTAAAATATGTTGGTATATAATTTAAAAATTTTAAATAAATAATTTATTTAATATAGGAGAAAACTATATCTGTAATATAAAATTGTTGTAAAATCATCAATATTCATTATATGGTTCAGATATGTGTCTTTGTCTACGATGTATATGTTTGATATCTTTTTTATAAAATTTGTTAATATAAATATTAAAAATGATATTAATTATTTGTTAACGGACAAAGAGTGTATTAGTTAACGGACGCTAAAAAACATATTGCTAAACTTAATTAAAACATTGAATTTTTATATTTAATATTAAATGGAGAACAATTTCTTGATGACGACATGACTCGTAAATTTAATCATTTTATTGTGATCAAAACTCTAACCATATATATCATAAAAAAAATTCAATTTTAAACTCCACAGATATATTTTTTATTTTCTTTTGTATTTTCATGAAACTCATAATTTTTTTGTTTGACAATACTGGCAAGTAATTATATAAACATATCCATAATTTTTTCTTTGCAATATTACAAATAATATCATCAACCTTTTCAACAAAAATATTTTTTGTAAAATAATACGAAATTTATTATTCGTTAACTTGTTTATATTTGTGTTTTACAATCTTAAATCACTAAAAAGAAACATATCTTATAGTCAATGATTGGATTCCAACCTAACTAAACCCTCACTAATCAAATGTTTTCATAATTACCGACGGTTCCATCAATTTCAATTGTTTATGTGTTCGTTATATATATATTTACACCATTCTTTTCAATTTATTTTTTCGCCATCAATTATAATATATGCAAATCTTTTACAAACAATATTTTAACAATACAATGGTATACTTTGTCTTATTCCACGACAACGCATAATTCATCTAATTTGAATTTTGCGATTTGAACGAACTTCAAATAATACTTTTGGGTACTTGTGTAATTTCATTAAAAAATAACGCAAAAATAAAATGAGAAAAGAGTCGATAATTACCTTGTATTTTAATACAAATTTATTCGTGAATTTTTTTATATATAACAAAAAAATGAAAATTAAAAATTGTGAAAAAAAGATATTGTCATTTATAATGTTTTAACTCCACCTAATTTTGGAATTTATATTGATCACCAAAATGATTCTTGGTTATATATTTTGTTCTCGAATTTTAACACAAACCAATAGTGTATCTCAAGAAACAACATGAATATCATTTGCGCTAAAAAACATTAAAACATATAGTATCAAAAGTCAAATGTAAAACTCATTGAAGCCGTCTTTGGCACGTTTGTAGTACTTTACACATTCTCGAATTTCTTCTTAGATTCTTTGACACTTCTTCTATACCTAAACTCAACCATTTTTCCGATCATTCATCAAGAATCCATATAAGATATATACCACCATGTACATAAATATATATGTATATATGTGTGTCTAGAAACCCATTCACCAAGAACACACACACACATATATATATATATAAAGACATGTATATGTATATACATATGAGTTCCTAGATAAATATCGTGAGTAATAGTTACAACAGTTTGAAAATGAAAATAATAATCTTCATATAAGACTAACATACATACATTATATATGTATGTATATATACAAGTGTGTTTATATATATGTAGTTTTGAGTAGTAACAAAATAAATACGGAGATTTATTCCCATATAAGAGAGGCTAAAAAACATAATTTCTAAAAGTTTAGTCCATCTCCAAATTTATCTTCAAGAGAGTCAAAGTCTACGGCGGAAGCCACCGGATTATTCCTTCTCCACAATCGGAGACTTTGGAAATATTACCGGAATCCTCCAACTTCACATCTGTCTCCACTTCTCTAGCCATGACTACCACGACGTAGTTTTTTGGTATTTGGTTTGAATCCCCCAACATATATATATATACATGTAATATATGTTTAATTTGAATTTTATTACATCCAAATTGTTTCTATTTTTTTATTGAAGATAATATAAAGAACTTAAGAACACTACTACAACATCGAAGATAATGTGCGTGCAAGAAAAGAAAAACATTATAAACAATCGATTTCATTTGAAGATAATAATATATTCACTAATCTCTCTACCAACATTTTTTCACAATGGATTTATTCATTTTATGATCTTACATACATTTTAGTTTGATATTTTGAATTAAAGAGTATTTAAATATATTTAAATAGGATATACATAATCTTTTCGGTTTATTTTTATATAAAGTATTTTTAATATATAGTCATAGATATAAATAATACATATTTTAAATTTTTTTCTCAATTGTGATGTAGTTTTTTGTATTAGTTTAATATTTGAGAGATATTTATCAGTAAGTCATAAACTTTAAATATTGTTTTTAATAACCATTTCAAAAACATATAGACTTGAATATACATTATACATTATACATTTAAAATCTAAGTTTATATATATTTTTTGTTATTTGGCAATAAGAAAATGTGAAATCAAATACTAAATTAATAATTAAAAGGTAATTTCAAAGAAGAAAAGAAAAAAAAAAGGAGATGAGAGACATAAGATGCGTAGACGTTTCTATTTCATTGACTCTCTCCCTATATTCGTTCACAAAAACACGAAGCTCCTCTCCTCTCTCCTCTTACACAGAAGGCTATATCCATCACATTTCTCCATTTTGCCCCTCCTCACATGAAAGCAAGAAGAGAGATAACGCAATATGAAGATACAAATATATCATGGGTCTATAATATATAGATTTTCTCTATAATAAAACATATAGTCGATTGCTACACATATATATATATATACATGTTGGAAGAAAAAAGTGATTTTTTTCCATCATTTGCTTTTTCCAGTGAGCTTATTCTTCCTCTTCTCGTCAAATTCCATGGCGGAGGCTTCTGCGTCGGTTCGGCTTTTTGGGTGTGTGACCACGATGAAGAAGCCATCGATGGGTTTATATAGACTATAACAAAACAAAAATACACCAAGGAAAAGTATTTAGAAAAAAATAAATAATTAATGTGGTTATTAAGGACTAATGAATACAGGTAATGGATACGACGTTGGAGTTGGGCACCATACGTTTTGGTTTATTTTTTAAATATTTTATTCATTAAATATAAGCATTTAAATTTTAAAGAAAAATTAAATTTCTGTATATACTCCAAATATATTATTATAATATTATGTTGATTTTATTTTGTTATTTAATGAAATATGAAATTATAATTTTTAATTATAACAAAGGAAAATTGAACAAAATACCACCTAAGATATGAGATAGGGTAATGATATTTTCATTTTATTAGTGGACTAATTAATGATTTTCCCAACATTTATTTATATTTGTTTTTATTATTTAACTATAAGATTTTATCTTTTATTTATAAACCAATGAAAAGTCCCTCATTTTCCATTACGTTACCTTTAAAATATAAAGGTAGTTAACCCAAAAAAAAATGGAGATACATTTAACTCCACTCCTTTTACTATTTATTTCTTGTTTTATTACAACCATTATTGTATTATATGTAATGTATATATGCGTGTGTAGAGTAGACGTTTTTTTCCTATTCATTAATCAAATTTATGTAGCTAATAAATTATTAAATGATAAATAAAAATTAAAAATAAAATGACACATAGATGATGAGTTGGATCCTAGGTGTCCTCACCATATTCCTCCAAATCCAACTTTTATATATATAGATTTTAGTTTACAAATTAAATATTTTTTAGATAAAATTTAGTTTAGATATATTTCTATATTACTTATTTACTTCATTTTTATGAATCCGCATCAAAATGGACAACTGTGGTTTTGATAGATTGTATTTGTAAGTTAACGTGGTAAATTTAAAATTTGAAATATGGAGCTCAAAATACACCTAAAGTAAATGATGGTAAAATTATGAATCGAACTTTATGAATGACTCGAATAGCACCTTATGAGATAATTACTGAGGTAAAAACAAATGAATGAAACTGGAATCAAATTCATCAATGACGTCCGAACCCACCATGTGTGTATATATATATATATATTGAATACAAGTCAATGGAAAATAAGTTAATGAATGATATAAATCGAGTATCAATTGGTTATTATTATTTTGAAATCAAATAAGAATTAAATATTAAAAATCCGGATACGAAGGAATATTTTTTTTAGAAAATGAATTGTTTAAATCATAACCGATTGGTGACTCGAAACATGAAGAAGCCAGTTTTTTGCATTTCATATATGATAAAAAAAAGTATTTACAAATTAGAGTTTAGCGGTTTATAAAAGGATGATAAATTCATATAAGGCACCGATACTTATCTCATGAACAATTTTTTTTCAAACTCTCCACGATTTCCAAAAAAAAATGTAACAGATAAATATTTAATACAATAACTCTTGGTTCAACCGGTGCAAAAGAAAACAAAACTCATTTTTAACCCGGGTTTGAATCCTCATTTAGTCGGTTGGCTCCGAACCTCTATGAACTTTTATATTATAAAAAAAATATATTTAATAAAATACGTTTAGGTTTCGACGTTGATTTCAGACATCGTCGATTATTACAAGCAAAGCGACGACGAAGGCGTAATCGACTTCTGGATTGACTTTCACTTTGAAGCCTGTAGTTCCCTGTGAATACTTTTATCAACGAGAAATCTTGAATCACCTGCCATTGCCAGCACCATAAATCTTCAGTATTCAAATAGTGGGCTTCTTGTTTGTTCACTGGATCCCCAATGGGCCTGAATCGAACGGCCCATTAACCCTCCCCATTAAAATAATTGCAATTAAACTCCTACACTTTCTTTTTCTCGCAGATCAATCCCTATAGTTTATATACAAACAAACACGTCCAGTGCAGTCCCTCGTACGATCAAGGGGTCTATATATGCATCGTAAAGATAACTTAAGAGCTACCTCGGCAAGAAGAGCATTCGCCTTAAAAAGCTTGATACAAGTGCCGAGAAGGTTTCTCGATACTCGAAAATCCGGCACGTTATCCGCTGAATCACGCGATAAAAAGATATCCGCCCTCTTTCTCAACGAGAATACATTAGATCCTCTCACGCAGAACAGAAGATCTTGATCACCGTCGATGCTTTCTCCTTCGTAAACTTTCCATTTGTACCTCCACGAAAATGCCTAAAACATGTATACAGGTTGCATAAACATGACAAAAAAGGTCAAAAGGGTTTTAATTTTTTAGGTTACCTTGCTTTGCATGGTGAGGAGGGTGAGACCGGCGGCGTCACGCAAACGGAGGCGGAGATCACCGGAGCGGCCGTCGGCGGTGAGGATGAGATTGCCGGAGGGATCGAAGACGTCGTAACGGTCTCTCGTGATGAAGCCATCGACCGTTCTTTCGACGGACAGATTCATCGGATAAGGATTGCAGAATCTTTCTCCCACAACACTTAGGCTCTGATCTCCGGCTCCCCATTCTGTCATAGATTTGCTCTTTCTCATTTTGGTGTTTGTCGGCTTTGATGACGAGAATACATCGAATCGGCATTATATCAAAAATACCTTTAATTTGCTATTTGTACTTCAAGACCTACCTTTGTGACCATGTGACCAATGTGACCGAAATATAGTGTGGTCACATTTTGATTTTATCGATTATAACGTTAAATTTATGGTGATCACACTAATTCATTATGTTCGTATCTTGTATATCTTACTAATCATTTGATTAAAACATCATAAATTTAACGTTATAAACAATGAGATCAATATGTGACCACACTATATTTCGGTCATATTGGTCATATGGTCACAAAGGTAGGTCTTAAAATACAAATAGCAAAGTAAGGGTATTTTTTATAATACCCCCCATTGAATCTATTAAATTAAACAAAGGAGGCAGTTGTGTTGAAGAGTTAGAAAGATGATTAGTTTAATGCTTTCGGCCGTCTCCCTTATTTAATTACCGTTTGTTTACCTCTTCCGATTCTATCTTTGAATTTGTCTTTTATACGTATTCTATGTTATGCCGTGTTTTAATCAAAATATTGAGGATTTTTTTTTTAGTTATGATTGACACAAGTTTGCAAGGTGATGTGATTCAAGCGACATGCGTTTGATCATCTTTTCAGCAAGTTGGGCGTTTCATGATCTTCCACGCTCCAACTTGAAGGGGATGTTGAGATATACCAGATCTTGAAGAATATTACGAGATATATCGTATAATGGAGATCTTATCAAATCTGGAAAATATATATTTAGGAATATTTATTATTATGTGTACTTTACTTATTTAAATGTAAGACTCTCATCTATTTATATGTTATTTTGACTATCAATACAGATTATTCCGCAAATTTCTTCAATTGAAACCGCGACCGACCCTAATATTTTATGACATATATAAATATTACTAAATCGATTGATAATACAAAACATAGGGATAATATATTAATATATAGAGCAAAACATAATATAAAAAAAAGAAGTGGGTCTGCATACTTTTTGTGGTGAACACCCATTTTCACGGCCCCTTTTGTCTCGCGTTGAAATTCTCATCAATCACGCAAAGTATCCAATTCTTTCTTTTCTTTTTAAAATATTTTATGATTATATATTCACAAAATTAATAAATAAAATTATTGTCGTCTTGTTGTTTCTTTCATATATATATATGTGTTATTCTCTCGTTCTGTGCACAGAAACCCATCAAGCAGCTCTCTTCTCTTGTCTCTGTGACCAGATTTGGGAGAAGTCATATATACGACACCGTTTCGTGGCGTTGGTGGTGGCATCATCATGGCCAATGTAAGCATGTAATTAATATTATTCATTACTGCCTAAAACTATAATAAGGATGTATTATGTATGATAGTTAGATCGATGTTTCATTTTCGGTTTTTGAAACGGCGAAATGATTTCGACTGTCGTAGGTTGTGGAACTCAAAGTGAATCTGCATTGCGATGAGTGCATCAGAAAAATACTGAAAGCCATCAAGAAGATCGAAGGTGATGATGATGACGATGATTCCCCCCCTCTCTCTTTATATATATGTATATGTATATGTATATGTATATGTGTGTTGTATTTGTTGATTTAAAATAGAAGTGAAAAATACAGATATAGAGACATACGACGTGGATACGCAGCTGAACAAAGTGACGGTGACTGGGAGAGTGACGGAGGAAGAAGTGGTCAGGGCTCTTCATAAGGTCCGAAAATCAGCTGTTCCATGGACCCACACCAACCACGATTCTCCCTTCCTCGACTAATAACATCATATATATATACATATATACTCACACACATACTCTTTCTAGTGTATTGTATGCATTACATTCAATTTTTGCCTGATCTCTAGTGAATTATATGAATATGAACCCTAATTTCACCGCAATATTTAGTTAAATGTCCGATTCCACAATCATGGCAAATCGAACATTATGGGTATGGCAATGAAATGGATAATTGAAGACGACGAAGCCGGTATTAGTACTACAAGCCCACGTGGGAGTTAGAATATGGGCCTTATGGGTTAGGCCCATTGGGCCCACGTTCACAAGCGTCCGTGTCGAAATCGCCTCGTTGCCCGTGACATGTTTATTCCCCAACTTTGGCATCATCAAACAATGATGACATGTCAACCCAGGAAATGTGCTACGTGTCACGCATGCAAAGGGGGTTACGAGTTAATCGACCCTTGAATTAATTATTTCAAATCAAACTAAAATATGTTTACAGTTTCATAATTAAATAATTATGTCATTTGTCAAATTACCTATTTACGTTTTTGGGGATTGCTCTTATTTTATAAACTTTCAGGAAGGTTCTTGACATGTGTCAGCTGCCTAGATATCTGGAGCCTTGATATTCGATTATAAATTTTACACGTCACAATACCGAAAGGAATATTATCAGAAATATCTAACTCTATAAATTGCAAATGGGACTAAATAGAACTTTCAGATATATTTTTTTCCTGCAAAGACTGTCTGGAGATAAAAGAAGAAGGCGAAACCTTTTAAGCACAGACGCGCAAAGCCCTAAATAGCCAAGGACACTGGTAGCTCTTGAAGGGAATTTATCATTTTCCGTGTTCAAGAGAGATTCGATTTATCGGCAAGGGAAGAAAATTTTCTGGGGTTTTCGAAGAATTCTCGATCCCGATTTCGATTCCGACAGGTAATGATCATTTTTCTTTAGAAAATCTTTTATGGGCATTATTGAAATCTCGGCTTGTTTACTCTTAATGGGTTTTGATGGGGTTCCTGTTGTGGGTGGTGATTGTTCTTCTGAAAGTTTTGAGATCTTTGGTTTGGTTTATTGTCGAGGAACTTTCCCCCCCATTGAATCGATTCTTGGATTTCAGGGTTTTGCGAAAACTCTTCGATTTATAGATTAGTTTTTGGTTTTCCGGATGTGTTGGTGTTTTAATTGAATTTTCCTTGCTCGTCAAGTAGTGGCATTAAATTATGGGAAAGGAAACTTCGTGCGCAAGGAAAAATCCTTGGTTCCTAAGGAATTCTTGTCCTATATAAGCTTGTGTGCTTTTGTTCTTATATACTCAATTTAATTCGAACACTCGCTTTACCTCTGAGACAGGTGTGTTGTTGTTGCCTGTTCTGCTGCGGTTGGGAGTCTTGTTCTTATCACAAGATTGTCTCGTGTTGTTGCAGATTGGGTGATTGGGAGAACGAGATAACGAAAATGGCAGTTTACGAGCAAAGTGGAAACGTGATTAAATCACAGATTAACGCTTCGAGAAAGAGGAAATCAAGGAGTAGACGAGACGGTACGACAGTGGCTGAGAGGTTGAAGAAGTGGAAAGAATATAACGTTAACGTTGAGGCTTCTCGTGATGGCGAGAAGCCGGAACGTAAAGTGCCGGCGAAAGGGTCGAAGAAAGGGTGTATGAAAGGCAAAGGAGGGCCCGAGAACAGCCATTGTAATTTCCGAGGGGTTAGACAGAGAACTTGGGGCAAATGGGTGGCCGAGATTAGAGAGCCGAATAGAGGTAGTAGATTGTGGCTTTGCACTTTCCCGACAGCTAATGAGGCAGCGGTTGCTTATGACGAGGCCGCTATGGCTATGTATGGGCCCTCGGCTCGTGTTAATTTCCCTCAAGCCACGACGGGATCCGGGCCTGAAATTACGAGCTCGTCAAATCAATCCGAGGTATATTCCATGGAGGATGTTAAGATAACGGTTCATGTGAAACAGGAGGAGATGATGAAGAAGGATGTGGAGAAACGTAGACTGAGTAATGATTGGCTGAGCGGGTTTGAACAAGCGTACTGGAAGAGTTTTCTCAAGGAGAAAGTGAAGGAACAAGAGCAGCTGCCTGATAACTGTGCGGAGGCATGTGCTGACCAGAATGAGTGGAATGAATTCTCTGCCGAGGAGATGTTCGATGTGGATGAGATTCTCGGCGACATGAGTGGGTACGTGCTCGAAGGGCCGAGCCAAGATCAAAGCTTTGGGAACGATAGGGCTCATAACGAATCGGTATTCTCAAATGGGGATGCAGAAATGGAGGGAGTGGAAGCAGAGGGTGCAGGCCATGGTTATGGGTTGCCCTTGCTTGAGCTCGACCCAGAGGATGATGGGCAAGGTTTGTTCGATTTCAGTTTTCTCGATCTTGAGAGGTTTTGAATGATATGTCTGTGACAGATGACTGCTTCAACGTTGATAATGAGGACGACCTTGGATCTTTAGGAGCTTTTCGACTCTCTTGGTTGCGTTACAGTTACAGAACAGGTGCCTGGTCTTTGCTAGGGACAACGACAAAAAAAGACAATGTGTGAAAAAAAATAGAAAAAGACATGAACATAAAGATTACATTTGTTCTTTCTTAGTTGTTCAGTTGCATTCATACTAGCAATGGGCTTTATCGGGCTTTTATGGAATTGATGGGCCGTTAATGGGCTTAATGATTCTACTTCATACAAGTATACATAAAAAAATTGTCGCAAATAACCATTAAATTTGATAAATAAATAAACGAAATTTTAATTTTATATAAAAATATATAAATTTTGATTTTTTATGTAGATCTATAAAAATATTAAATTTAATTAGTTTTTTTATATGATTGTGTGCGAAAAAATTTTAAATTTGTGTATTATAAGTTGATGTTTACGAAAAATATTAAAATGTGTGTTTTTAATATTAAAAGTTTATATATTTATTTACCAAATTTAAAAGGGTTATTTTTGGATACTCTAAAAAAACATATGAACTTTGAATAAACAAAGATGAAGACGATAAGTAGTTTTCCGTATAGCTTAAACTAGCAACACAAGAAAATAATATAGAAAATTTCTAAAAACCTTTCTCTCCATTTTAATAATACAGAATGTGAAATAATACACAGATGATGAGCATTTGGATTGTTTTTACTATGTTTTCAATTCGATTATTTTAAAAAATTAAATAAATTTAAAATTTTAAAAATATAGTATTTAAAGGAAATAGATTGTCATTTATAGTATTTTTGATATTTGATTTTTAACCAAATCGATTTGATTAAACATTTTTAATAAAAAAACTATATCTTACTTGATTCAATTAAGTTGATAGCCATGAAATATTATATTATCCTTTTAATTTATTTACATGAAACTGAAAATGTATAGGATATATGATTGTACACTTTATATATTGGTTCCGTCATACAAAAAAACAACAAAGTATAAACTCATCTGATGAAAGATGACACAACCTCGTTGGCATTATATTATTTCAGATACACAAACCAAAAACACACATAGTTGCAAAATAAAAAATAAAACGGTCCATTTCATATTAGTATATACTAAAAGCAACTCCACAAAATAAACAAATGCGTGATTGATTCTCTATATCCATTACCACAATAACGTTGGTTATAGTCCATCCATTTGATTAAATGCCTTATAATAATCGTAAGGTGTATAATTCGGGTTCATGAAATTTCGGATACATCGCATCATGTCATCCAAATGATATGATGTATTTAAACAAATGTTAAAAAAGAGGAAAAAATAAAGTCTCGAACCAAGAACCTTTGTGATTTGGGAATAATTAACATATATAATACTAATAATATTTATTATTGAATGTAATAAATAATAAATATATATATATATGTATAATGGTTATTAAATTTATATGAATCAATATAAAATAAATAAAAAAGATTTATGCAATACGAAGGAAAATAGAGGGAAAAAAGAAAAGGGGAAAGGATAATCTTCCACCTAAACAATGCCCATAGGAGTTTGCAAGTTGCATTGTCCGGCGTAGGCTCTTTGATAAGGTCTCACCCTCCCACCTTCCTCAAAGATTCTCTCTCTCTATATATGTGCACCTTACATAATATATATATATATATGTATATATATGTATAGGTAATTAGTTATATCTACATGTATGTATGGGTGTCATATACATATACCAATGAACCCATCACACATGCATATGTGTACTGCATAATATATGTAAAGAGGTTGAACATATATATGTTGTGTAATTGGGTGTATACAATATTTTATACATGGATTAATCATATTAGATTTCGAATATATTTATGTAATATTATTTAAATGCTATTAATCAGTGAGAATTTTATATATATGGTTGATACTTCTCCTACTTTTTTTATAAGTAATTTAACGCATAAGTTTTACCAAAATGTCATTGTTTTGGTTTTAAATTTGGTTTAATATGTATATTTACCTTATTTCCATAAAATAAATTTCTATGATTTTCTCAAATTATTCCATCAAATACCATATACGATGCATCCATATGGATAACACACATGCAAATCTTTATTTAACTGACACCCGCATATACATATATATATATACAGAGAGAGAGAGATGAACATTATTTTCAAAAACAAAATCAAGTTGACAACCGACACCAAACAAGATCAAATTCCTCCTTCTCTCTCAATCCTCCGATCATTCACACATATATATATCAACGATATATACACACCGCAAGAATCATCATAATACACGACCCAGACAATCGCAATCGAGAGAGAGATCAGATTATGCAGTCATCGGTGCAGCTCCGCCGGGCGACGTCGCCGGCGACGTCTTCCGCTGCCGAGAACGGATTCCACCACTCGCCGGAGACAGTCGTGAGACGGGTGTGCCTGACGCGTGGGATGCACGTGCCGGAGCACGTGGCTTGGCACCACACGCACGAAGTTGGCCCCGACCAGTGCAGCTCGGCGGTGGTGCAGACGGTGCACGCGCCGCTGGAGCGCGTGTGGGCCGTGGTGCGGCGATTCGACAACCCTCAGGCCTACAAGAGCTTCGTCCGTCGCTGCCACGTCATCTCCGGCGGCGACAGTCTCGCCGTCGGCAACCTCCGCGAGGTTCACGTCGTATCCGGCCTCCCCGCGGGCTCCAGCACCGAGCGGCTCGAGATCCTCGACGACGACCTCCACGTCATCAGCTTCAGCGTCGTCGATGGGGATCACCGCCTAAAGAACTACCGGTCCGTCACCACCCTCCACGCGGCGGAAGACGGCGGAGACACGGTGGTGGTGGAGTCGTACGTGGTGGACGTACCGCCGGGAAACACGCCGGAGGAGACGCTCAGCTTCGTCGACACCATCGTACGGTGCAACTTGCAGTCTCTCGCGAGAAGTACGGCGATGAACATGCAATCACGCTGAATCTATACATACGCATCTATACGCAATGAAATGTATAGATTTATACTCACGTATGTATTCCAGACTCTTTTATATATATATATATATATATATATATATATAAATCGTTTCTCTTATTTTCTGCGTTTTGTGTATACGATCATTTTGTATAATTTCCTGTTGTGTGTTTATAATGGTTTTGGTGTATGATTTCTTAAGGAGTAATTGTGGAATGAGGAATTTGCGGGTGCAATTCAATGTGTAGAAGAAAACCCTAATTGGGATCTCGTGATTAGTGTCTCTTTCGTGTTTATCGACACTGTTACCGTCCTAAGACATTCAATTAGGGGGTATTTTGGATTAAAATTATATTTTCATTAGGTTTTCGCAGTTATAGTAAAAACATATATCTATATTCATTTTTTTATTATCCGTTTTCCATTCAATTTGAAATTTCAGATTTTGCAGGATTTGGTATTCAAAAAACCGATTTTTTTTTAATTATAATTTTTAGTGATCATTTATTTATTGTTACATTCAATTCGAAATTTATTTATTTGATTTGTAATAAACATATCCAACCTAGTTTTCAGATTAAGTTCACTTTGATTCGATTCGATTACATGTGTATCGAAATAGTCTAACACCACCAATTATTCATCCAGTATATATATAATTTAACGACAACCATTGTTTTTAATATAACCTATAAAATCAAAATATATAAGTATTTTAATATGAAGTTGATACAAAATTAATAGTAATCAGGGGGATAAATTAAGTGATTAAACCTGTTTAGCATGTGCAAAGGATAGGCGTGCCAACTTGATATTTTCTATACTTTATGAGTTTAGTCAAGTGGACGATAATATTATTATTAATCACTCTGTTTTATTAATTAAATCCACTAGTTAGTAGTTGTTTATTTTTAATCCACTTATTTCTGGTCTTCTATTGTGGTGGCCATTTTATTTTTATTTTTTTCAATTTCAACTTTATTAAATTAATTGTCTAAAAGGACATGCAATACAAAATTTAGCTGGAATTCCGCGCCACTTGATATATAATATATATACACACACATTTAATCGGTACCTTTTAACAAAGGCCATAGTTTTTTTTTTTGGTTTTTTGTCAAAAGGCCATAGTTTTTTTTCCTGTTGTGTGTTTATAATGGTTTTGGTGTATGATTTCTTAAGGAGTAATTGTGGAATGAGGAATTTGCGGGTGCAATTCAATGTGTAGAAGAAAACCCTAATTGGGATCTCGTGATTAGTGTCTCTTTCGTGTTTATCGACACTGTTACCGTCCTAAGACATTCAATTAGGGGGTATTTTGGATTAAAATTATATTTTCATTAGGTTTTCGCAGTTATAGTAAAAACATATATCTATATTCATTTTTTTATTATCCGTTTTCCATTCAATTTGAAATTTCAGATTTTGCAGGATTTGGTATTCAAAAAACCGATTTTTTTTTAATTATAATTTTTAGTGATCATTTATTTATTGTTACATTCAATTCGAAATTTATTTATTTGATTTGTAATAAACATATCCAACCTAGTTTTCAGATTAAGTTCACTTTGATTCGATTCGATTACATGTGTATCGAAATAGTCTAACACCACCAATTATTCATCCAGTATATATATAATTTAACGACAACCATTGTTTTTAATATAACCTATAAAATCAAAATATATAAGTATTTTAATATGAAGTTGATACAAAATTAATAGTAATCAGGGGGATAAATTAAGTGATTAAACCTGTTTAGCATGTGCAAAGGATAGGCGTGCCAACTTGATATTTTCTATACTTTATGAGTTTAGTCAAGTGGACGATAATATTATTATTAATCACTCTGTTTTATTAATTAAATCCACTAGTTAGTAGTTGTTTATTTTTAATCCACTTATTTCTGGTCTTCTATTGTGGTGGCCATTTTATTTTTATTTTTTTCAATTTCAACTTTATTAAATTAATTGTCTAAAAGGACATGCAATACAAAATTTAGCTGGAATTCCGCGCCACTTGATATATAATATATATACACACACATTTAATCGGTACCTTTTAACAAAGGCCATAGTTTTTTTTTTTGGTTTTTTGTCAAAAGGCCATAGTTTTTTTTATAATCGTTATAATGAAATATTGTTTTATATCAGAAATATAAAGATTAATTTTCTAAATTCTGACAGTATTTATAATATATCAATAGATCAAAATATGTATTATCGTTGATGTTGTTAAAATGAGCTAATAGAACAGTCAGATAAAATATCATTTTTTAATAATTTAATATAACGTTGTTAACATTGGTGAAGTTATAGTAAAACCTCTCCGAACGAGTTTTACGAGGGAAAAAAACTGAATGCCCAGATTAACCACGACTAATAATTTTTTAAAATTGTATTATTCATTTGCTTTATTTATGTAATATAATTATATGAAAAAATCGTCAAAAAATATTAATAAATGAATTTTAAATTTTCATACAATAATACATAAATATATTAAATTCCCGAATATAACCATATATATTTGATATTATATCAAATTGATATATTATATTATTACAAATCCATAAATTTACCACGGATCCTTTTCATATCGATATAACTATTTTTTTTTGGTAAAATATCGATATAACTATTTATATAATACAGAATTTACAATGTTTTAAGCAACATCTATCGGTGATCGTTTATAAAAAAAAAATCTATTGGTGATCATTCGAGTGTTGGTGGTAAAATGATAAGATCGTTTTTTACCGCGAGTTCGAACCTTCCATTATATTATTAGTATTAGTATTAGTATTAGTATTAGTATTAGTATTAGTATTTAGTATTAGTATTAGTATTACCCTTTTCCAAAAAAAAAAATCCGTCGGATCGGTTTTTACCGCGAAGTCGTGGTCTCTAACCCGGGGATGTCAACCCATTGGCAACAAACCGGTTTGGGTTTCGTTTTAATTCGAACAAACCGAAAAATTGACCTAACCGGATTTCCAAATCCAACATAATCCCGACTCGATCCGCGCCGGCCAGTACAAAGCAGCCAGCCCCAGCTTCCCAAAAGCGCTCGTGCCGACATGGACTCGTCGGCGAACACCAGGAACAAGGCGTTGACGGAGACGCGTTTCTCCGACCTAGATCCGCCTCTCTCCGGAGAGATCCTGGAGGCGCTCGCACAGTCCGGGTTCGAGTTCTGCACTCCGGTTCAGGCCGCGACCATCCCCTTGCTCTGCAACTACAAGGATGTTGCCGTCGACGCCGCCACCGGTTCCGGAAAAACCCTAGCTTTCCTCGTCCCTCTCGTCGAAATCCTCCGTCGCTCCTCTTCTTACCCGCCAAAACCTCACCAGGTTCCTGCCTTCCCCTTTTGATTTCATCTCTGTCGTTTGATTTCGGAGGAAATCCATTTTGCTGTGTTGTTAGTGTGTGGTGATCAGGGTTTTTGCGGGTTCAGTTTTGTATGACCTAAAAACTTCTCAACTCTAGCGGGTCCTTTGAAAAAACCAAAAATTTTCCCCTACTCCTTGATTTCTTGTGTTTGGTTCCTTTGAAGATCGAGCAACCGGAAAATTGCTTGTCTTTAACTTAAACTCTTTGTTGTTTCGATTCTGAATTATGTTTTCTATTTTAGGTTTGATACATCTTTTTGAGATAAAAACTGCAGGTCTTGGGGATAATTATATCACCGACAAGGGAGTTATCAACACAGATATATAATGTGGCACAGCCTTTTGTTTCGACTTTGACAAATGTGAACTCAGTGCTACTTGTTGGAGGCCGAGAAGTGAAGACGGACATGAAGACCATAGAAGAAGGAGGAGCCAATCTTATGATCGGTACACCTGGAAGGCTTTACGATATAATGGAACGAATGGAGAATCTTGATTTTCGAAACCTTGAGGTAGTTTTTCACTTTTGTTGATTTGTTAATCTGATGGTGCATCCATCGTTTACGAGTTTAAAGTTTGTTCATTGTCAAGAAATTACTCACCTAGGTTTACGCCTTGAGTCGAGCTGCTTTATACTTCTTTTGTAAATTCCTTGGCTGAGGTTGATGAATCGTTAACTGGTGGAACTTTTTACCTGTGAAGATTCTTATATTAGATGAGGCTGATAGGCTTTTGGAGATGGGATTCCAGAAGCAGGTGAATTATATTGTATCTCGCTTGCCGAAGCTTCGTAGGACTGGCCTTTTTTCAGCCACACAAACAGAAGGTGTAGCAGAGCTGGCTAAGGCCGGGCTTAGAAATCCCGTGAGGGTTGAAGTTCGAGCTGAGTCGAAAGCAAATTCATCTCAACAGTTGGCGAACTCAAAGACCCCTTCCGGTCTTCATCTCGAGGTACAATCTCAATTTATTTTTCTCAATATACGAGTTTTCCTTTTAAAAGTTTGTGTTTCCTGCTTCGGGAAGAATTTTCTTTCCCTTTTTAGATGCCCATCATGTCTACGGGATTGTATGTGGTTCCCGAACATTATCTTCCATGGTACATTGTGTCTTTTTCTTTATTGCTTTATTTTTCGTTGGCTCTGCAGTATTTAGAATGTGAAGCAGATAAGAAATCATCGCAGCTTGTGGATCTCCTCATCAAGAACAAAACTAAAAAGCTTATAGTGTAAGTGTACAACTGTCCTGAAAGATTTGAGCCCAGTTAGCACACTTGTATATATAGTCTTAGCATACTAAAAATAGTTTAAATGTCCCTGCAGATACTTCATGACTTGTGCTTGTGTTGATTACTGGGGACTCGTTCTTCCACAAATTCCTTCTCTGAAGTCTTTGTGTTTAATACCCATCCATGGGGATATGAAGCAGGTAAACTATTACGAGACTTTTTTTTTCCTTGTAGCAATTTGGCACGTGGGTTTGGTGGATTTTGATGTATTATGATTTGTGGACATACCAGAAAGCAAGAGATAAGGCCTTAGCTTCATTTACAGATGCATCTAGCGGTGTCCTTCTATGCACAGATGTTGCTGCACGTGGGCTCGATATTCCGGGCATTGATTGCATTGTGCAGGTAGTTTATATATAATTTTTATTAGCGAGTTCTAAACATTTTTCCGATTCCCTCTATGCAATATAGGATTTGACGTTTTGGGATTCTTGTCCAATGGCAGTATGATCCCCCACAAGATCCAAATGTATTCATCCACAGGGTTGGGAGAACTGCAAGGTTGGGAAGACAAGGAAGTGCCATAGTGTTTCTATCGTCCAAGGTGAACTTTATCGAATCTCTCTATGTTCTTGAATCCTGCTCGTAATCGTATACCTCTCTCCTACTTGTCTGAGCCATTGATGAAAGTTTTAAGTTTTTCGTAATGGATGAAAGTCTGCATATGTTTACAGGAGGAAGCCTATGTAGAGTTCTTACGCATAAGAAGGGTTCCTCTTCAGGAGAAAAAGTGCAGTGAGGAAGCATCTGATGTCACTCCCCTTGTAAGAAGACCTTCATTGTCCCTTTCTTTCTTCCTATCTGTCTTTGGTCAGAGGTTGATTTACTGTTATAACTTGTTCAGATAAGATCGGCTGCACTGAAGGACCGAGCAGTGATGGAGAAAGGACTGAAAGCGTTTGTTTCCTACGTTCGTGCTTATAAAGAGCATCATTGCTCTTACATTTTCAGGTGGATGACCGATCAGTCATTCTTTTTATGTGAGTATTGTTTTCCTCGAGAAATCTGGATGTGAAAGTTCATGTTTTTTTCTCTCTTATAAACTACAGATGGAAAGAACTTGAAATCGGAAAGTTGGCAATGGGATATGGCCTTTTTCAGCTTCCGTCGATGCCCGAAGTGAAAAATCACAAACTTTCCATCGACGGGTTTACACCGGCAGAAGGCATCAACTTTGAGGCCATAAAATACAAGTACGAGTTCTTCAGAATCTCTTCATTTACACTTCCCCCTCTAGTTTTAACATCTTCATTATTATGATCTCTCTTAAATTCATGTTACGACGGTTTCAGGGATAAATCTAGGGAAAAGCAAAGAAAGAAGAACCTGCAAGCAAAGAAAGAAAAACAAGAACAACAAAAGCCAGAGAAGGCCAAGAAAACCTCAAACAAGGCTGCTAACAACGACTCAGCCGCCGTGAGAAAATTAACGGCTAAGCAGCGACGAACAATCCAAAATGTTGAAGACGAGGAAGAGATGGCCCGAGACTACCGGTTACTGAAAAAGCTGAAGAAAGGTGCCATCAAAGAAGACGAATTTGATAAGCTATTAGGAACTGACGATTTAGTTTGAGGGGAAGAAAAGAAAGAAAAGAAAAACCTCAGACACAGCATGATCGGAGAACAGGCATTTCCATTGTTTGAATCCAAGTGTAGTAGTATTTATAAGATAAGGCATCTCTCTTATACAACACCAGGTTTGCCAAGAACCCCGGTTGAATCTTACATCGTTTTTAGAAACGAGGAATGTATGCAAGAGTGGGATGAATCGTCCTGAGCGATCTGGCCATTGATAGCTGCGACAATTTGGGAGAAACAACCAGAATCATCCATGAAACTGAAGCTCTGTCTTGTGCTTGCTTCGCCGGACAGGACAGAGTGATCTTCAACCTCCATCCAACCATCCGAATCCTGGCTGTTGTGAACTTTGATCGAGGCTTCTTTGTCGGAATATGTCTGTTTCAGGGCGTGAGAAACATTCGTGACGAGTAGATACTTATCCTCGTTTAGCCCCGGAAGAGTAGAAGTGATTACTGTGAGTGGGTGTTTCCGTTTATGAACCACTCGGTTAAGCTTATTGCCTGATTCAGACGTCACCTCCACAACCCTCTTGCTCTTCACTCTCTGCTCAACTCGTTTGTAAGTTCCGTCTCTCTCGTACTTCACCAAGCTTTCGACTTTGAACTTGCTTGTGACAATGGTAGTCAGATTACCTCTGCTTGATCTTACCCATCCACCGAATTTGCTCTTCCTCCATGCTTTGATCCTGAACGATCCATCCAGTTTCTCAAACTCTTCGTGTCGCTTCATTTCCTGATTCAAGCTATAGTATAGGACAGACCCTGTTTCGACACTCGGAGAGCCATGGTCCAGCCAGATGTGCAAATTCGCGTCCACAAGCCAGTACGAAATCCCATCCCTCACGCCAACCTCAAATTCGTGAGGTTTACCATCGAGAAGTGGCCCTAAGAATGGGGTCAATTCCATGTCGTAAGAAGGGAGATTGAACGCGCCGATAGCCACAACAGGTTCCCAGAACAGGGGGTTGATCCCACCGGTAAAGATGACCGGAAATGGGACCTCAGAACCTACGTATCTCCCGTCTATCTTCACGAAAACCTCCCGGTAGGCACCATTTCCGCGCCCTGTCGTCAGATTGTTCATTCTGATGTACGAATTTGGCGGGTTTGAATACCAGAACTCATCGTTTCCATGAAATGAGACGTACAGTTCCAAAACAATCTGACGAGTGTTCGTCGGAACTTGAATTCTTTTTGAGCGTGTATCTGTGGATTTCTCGATCATGAACCAAAATCCCCTGTTTCCACTGTCACATATCGGAATGATCGAATCCGCCGGTGTCTGGTATCTTTCCCGGGATCCTGTAAACCCTAATATGCTATTGATATTCTTCATTGATCCGAAGTCAGACGAAAACGCATCGGGACCGGATTTATAGAAGTGGAGAGTCACATTGATATGGTAAATACCAGTGTAGACTTCATTGACTATATTCTCGAGCATCATCGTGACATTGAGATCGGATCTCAAGAAGAGCGAGGAGTACCTGGTGACATCCTTGCGAACACTCCAGTAGATCCCCGACGGTGACGGCTCCGCCGTGCTGGTACGGAGGAGCTCCACGCCGCCGAGCCATAAGCCGGAGATGCGATCGTACTGTTCGCCGCTCGAGGCGGCGAAGAGCTCGAGTACGACGGAGGACCAAGGTGGCGATGTACATCCCAACGGCGGAGAGTACGGGATGGTGAACGGAGGTCCGTCGATGGTGTTGGCGAACGAGTGGCGGAGGAGCACGTGCGAGCACGACGGAGCCAGATGCTCTGACGGCAGAGGGCGCGTGATCTCCACGTACTCTTGGGGCGCGTCCTGTGATCGGAAAGACGAAGAAGCCGATCTGATTAATCTCTCCGGAGACGACGGGAGAGAAACCCCGGTGGTGAGGAAGGAGACTACGACGGCAAATAGCACGGCGACGTTTGCATTCATTTTTTGGCCGTCGTGTTCTCTGTTACTTCGGAGTACACGCAGAAGAGGAAAGGCCTTAAGAAAACATCAAAGCGTTCGTTGTTTCCAAGACTCAACTACATGGCGCTCTCATGATTATGAAACGGCACAATTTGGTAGACTCAGAGCAAATGGGTGAGTCCAAAAAAGGACTTGAATAGAAAGAGTTTTTAGATTTTAAAAATTCAAGAAATTGTCAATCAATTTTTTTTTTGTCAAACAATCAAATTTTTTTATATTTAGTTTTTCTAAAAATCAGAAAAATTATTTTAAAATAAAATGAACTAAAAACTAAAATCTATACTTTTTTTTGGATTTACAAATCGATGAAAACTAAAAATCAAAAACCAAAAATTAAAATCTAAAAATCAAAATCTAAATTCAAAAATTCAAAATAAAAAACCCATCCATTTAACACCAAAATAATTATCAACCATGGGTTATATAATCGTTTATCAATCGTTGGATGAGAGTGTAACCAGTCTAAGCCGTCGATTATTCCGTCGAATCTGTTCCGTTAGATCTGACTGTATACAAATCTCAATCGTCGATACCCATTATTATTCCAAAACCGTCCGATCAGAAAAAACCAATCTCAGACGTCGATTAAGATATTTTATCTCGGCCATTAGATCAGAAATGAGGAAATATGTGCCGTCGATTCTCAGATCCAATATAATCCGCTAGATCTATGTCCAACGGATATCATCCATCGGTTCTTAATACGAATCCGTAAAATCTGAACCGTTCGATCTGTTTGACGATATATCGACGATCAAATTCGAAACAGAATTCTAACCGTTAGATCAATTCTAGTCGATCTCAACCTTGGTTTTAATATTGTCACCTGTCCGGAAGTGAGTGGAGGAGTGAAGAGTCATTCATCACCATCCTTGCTACCATTAAAAAAAAAAATACCCAAACGTTGACAAAAAGAAATTAAGAAAATGGCCTTCACGTATACATATCATGCAAAACATGTATAATCCTTAGTTGCATCCACGTCCGTCTCTCACATTTTCTTCCGCAAGTTATCATCTTCAGGAAAAACATGTAACCAATGTATGTTTCTGTGTGTGTGTGTGTGTATATATACATACACATCTCTCTGCTTCTCTGCATCTTCATCTTCCACAGAGAAAAACCCAAGAAATTAATGGACATCAAAGCCTCCTTGTCCACCGTCTTCCTCCTCCTCCTCTCGGCGGTGGAATGGCCGTCGACTTCGGCGGAGGGTTACACTCCACCGGCTCCGACCACCGGATATCCCACCGGAAAGACGGTGGAAGCGGCGGTGGAAGGGATGGTGTATTGCCAAGCCTGCGACAAGTTCGGTTCTTGGTCACTGGAAGGGGCAAAACCCATCAGTGGAGCCAAGGTCAGCGTCATATGCAAGAACCATTACCAGCAGGTGAGCTTCTACAAGGTATATCAGACCGATTCCAGCGGCCATTTCTACGCAGAGCTCAAGGGTTTCAAGACGAGCCCTCATTTCTTGGACCATCCTCTTCACTCCTGTCGTGTCAAGCTTGTGTCTTCTCCACTCGAGGGCTGTAACCTATTCTCTAACATCAACAATGCTCTTGATGGTTCTCCTCTCCGGTATGAGGACAAGAGAGTGAAGTGGACAACCTATGAGGCAGTGGTCTATGCGGCCGGGCCCTTGGCTTTCCGTCCTGACCACTGCCCCTCGGCTTCTCCATCCACTTATCCTTGATTTGGGTTTTTCGGGCTTTAGGTTATATATACTCATTATTATAAGGCACCTCGCTCATTTCCTCATCTCTTTTCTGTTTGTTTTTTTTTTCCTTTTTGGTCAAGAAATGTAATGTAATGGGAAACATGTGTATCCTCTATATCGAGTTTGAGAAGAACCACATATAGTGTATATCTTTGCAAGGAAAAGCCAGACATAATCTTCAATAGAGCAACGACAACACAGGAAGAAAGTGAAAAATACTGTGTCTCAGACAACATTGTTTATGTTCCTCTATAAGTTGAAAACGATGCCGTTTTGGTTGGTGTACGGACGATAGCCTCTTTCTAACGTAGAGGGTTGTCGTTCGGGAAAATTACCCAAATAACCTACTTGTTTCACACCAATTTCAGGGTACACCACTTCCAAAAAAAAAATTTTTTTTTTTCAATTTTAACCCACTTTTCGGGTGAAAAAGTCCAAAATACCCTTTTCGTTTTATTTTTTACGACCTTTTTGCGACTAACATATAACTGATATACAACTAAAATAAGAGGTATGATTTTTTTTGCCACCTTTTTGTAACTATATTTAGAATTAATTACGAAGTCGTAATAACGAAGTTGTTTTCGAACGGATAAATATCGTGATTCATTAAGGGTAATTTCGTCTTTTTATGGAGGAAAAAATGTGTTATATTTTTTCTGGTGTACAGGTGAAATTCATGCGACCCATCTGGGTCATTTGAGTGAAGAACCCTTGTCGTTCGCCGGAATTAGCCGTCAATTTTTTGGTTCCTTCTCTCGATTCGTGGAAAAACACCTCCCATTTCTTCACTCTCGGTTTACTCAGATTCTCTCATGGCGATTCCGATGGATAAACCAGACCCAAATCCACCGACGCAAGTACCCGACCCGGAAGAAGAGGAAGACGAACTGGAAGAGGAACTGACCGACGACGACGAAGATGTGGAAGAGGAGGAGGAGGACGATGACGAGTCGACGGTGCCGAGGCCTGGAACGCGAGAGGGCCGATCCAGTGCGGAGAGGCTCAAGGCGCAGTCTCTGTTCCGCCGCATGCGTGCTGCTCCGGTTCCGGTGCGGGTCCACGACGTGATCGTCCGTGGAAACGGCAAGACCAAGGACCACGTGATCGAAGCGGAGGTTGAGGTCGTGAGGCACGCGAAGACGTTGCAGGAGCTTCTCGAGGCTTCTAGGGTTGCCAATTTCAATCTCCAGGCGCTCGAGATCTTCGATTCCGTCAACATTACGCTCGATTCTGGTCCTCCTGAACTTCCTGGTTCCACCAATGTCGTGATCGATGTTGTGGAGAGCAAAAACCCTCTATCGGGCCAAATCGGTGCATACACTAAAGCACAGGTATCGCTCTAATGACGACACTTAGTTTTGTGTTTAATTTTCAACGCATTAGGTTAAGGCAATGGTAATTGAGTTCGGATGTGTTGTCGATGTCGTCGAGTGTATGTCTTTTGTTCCGATGCATTCCTGGAAAATGAAGTTCAAAATGCTAGAAAAAAGGTGAATTTCTTTGGTGTAGCTTGTGGGTTTATGTTTCAGATTCTGTTTAGTCGATCGATCTTATATGAAGATTTCTGGTTTGGATATAATTCTAGTGTTGGTGTAGGCTAGATCAGCAAGTGTTGAAGCATCTCTGAAGTACAAGAACATATTCGGGTATGGTGATATATGGGATGGGTCTTTAGCTTATGGCTGTGACAACTCTGCTGAGGTTAGCTTGGGGCTGTTCTTGCCGAGGTTCAAAGGATATTCAACTCCATTAACGTCCCGTCTTTACCTTTTGACCCAAGATTGGCTGAAGTTTTCGTCTTATAAAGAACGATCTCTTGGTCTTTCGCTTGGGCTCCTCTCAAGAGAATATCATGACTTGGTCTACACAGTTGCATGGAGAAACTTAATAGACCCATCCCAGATGGCGTCGAGATCTGTAAGGAGGCAACTGGGACATAATTTGCTTTCCACTTTGAAGTATACCTTCAAATACGACCAGAGAAACTCGTTCCTAAGGCCAACGAGGGGATATGCTTTCGTCTCTACTTCTCAAATAGGTGGTCTTGCCCCGGATAGTCGAACTCTGCGGTTCTTGCGCCAGGTTCATTTCATTTCATTGTTGTTTCCAACACTTAGAAGTACATATTCTCGGTTTTGAAAGTTGCGTGATAGATTTCCCATGCCGAAGATTTCATGTATGTGTACTAACGATTTTCAGGAATGGCTCTCCAATATTGTTGTTAGTCTCCCTTGTGTGTTTATCCGTTTTAGATCTGGAATAAACTTCTTGCAACAATATATAGCAGCATTTCTTGAGTCTTTTGATCATACATGTGATGATTCTATATGATTGACGTTGACCCTGTTTATCCTGTGTCAATGTTATCTCAGGACATCGATCTTCGGTATGCTGTCCCGCTCGGGTTTTACCGTGCTGCTCTGAACTTTGGAGTATCTGGGGGTATCGTCTTTCCATGGGGAAGTGGATACCAGACAAAGCCTTCATCCTTGCCAGAGAGGTTCTTCTTGGGTGGAAACTCATCCCCTGTCTGTTCTTTGGGAGGACCATCTGCATTATGGGGATTTAAAACAAGGGGATTGGGTCCTAACGAACCGAGAAGGGAACTACATGATGAGAGTATTGACCCATCTGAACGGGATTTCGTTGGGGGAGATTTTGCGGTTACTGCATTCGCTGACCTCTCCTTTGATTTCCCATTGAGATGGTTCAGAGACAGAGGAATCCATGGGCATGTGTTTGCGTGTGCCGGGAATCTCGGCAAGTTGTCAGAGAACGAGTTCCGGAACTTCACTGCTCCGAAATTCCTGGAGACAAGTAGAACATCTGTAGGAGTCGGGATTGTCCTACCCACTAACCTCTTCCGTATGGAGGTAAGTCTTGTCATTATATTCTAATATTCAGCATCAACATTGCCCCATGTCGGGGATTGATTTTTTCTTTTTTTTTTTCTTGGGCTCTTGGCCTCTGGTTTGGCGACCTTGACAGCTTAACTACTGCCACATACTGCGAAAACAAGAACAGGATAGGGCGAAATCTGGGTTCTTCATGAACTTCTCGGCGCCATCCTGAGAGATAGATAGAATTCAACACATCTTTTTACTTGTCGTGCGATGGCGAGGAGGTACTCTTTTTTTAGCCTTTTGATTTCTCAACCATTTTGACATGTCTTGATGGTGATGGATATTGGATATGGATGGGGTTCAGGCAAATTGGATTGTTTTTTCAGTTTGAAACTGTTTGTGATAAGTTTTAGAAGAGGTAAGTTTTGTCCTGTGCGGTTTCTGGGCAAAAGAAAAAACAAAGAGGGGAGCTTTCGGGTGTTTGGTCATGAGAGCCAAATTGGATGATAAATGAGGGCAAAGTTTTCTTCAACTTGATTCTGTGTTGTGTTTTTCTTCGGTTATTGTTTCCAACTTTGCTTCTTTCTCCTTCAACTCAGTGAGTCAGTGACTCGTGATCCGGTTCATGTAGCACCTTTTGCTGAGTCAAATTAAGAAATGATATGCAGGCCCAAGACGATCATTACATATCACAAAGTCTATAAATTTGATATTCTCTCTGCAAAATATTCAAAAAATACAAGAGTAACACATTTGCCCCACAAGCGATTAATCAAAAGCTAAAAACTGATGACTTGGGGGGGGGGGGGGGA